TCCTTTGTGCATGGGAAAGGGAGGGTTGCTGGGGTAGCCACCCCACATTAAAAACCAATGCATCTGTGTTTTGTATCAACCATTCTGAACCGCTAAAAGCTTGACAAGCTAGATTTCGGCTCGTTGTGGGAATGCCGGAACTTTTCCCTTTCCAATCTCCCTTGCAGGCACTGCTATAATAAACACCTGAACATTTGCAATAAGCAACGTAACCTCCACAAGCAGAGGTTAGTGGTGTTATAAGAGAAACGGGAAGCAAATAATCCAAACAAAACTCTATTTAATTTTATAACTCCCCTGCGATCTGTATGTTTTTGGGGCTCGGGGTCCCCTTTCCACCCAGGTGCATTCCGTCTCCCCAACCCGGTTAGAGCCCTTACCTCTTTCTGTCCCCTTTTCTTCCCACTGCCCCTTTAAGTTCTGTCTGTTAAATATTAGCCCATGACCTTTTGCTGATTGGCTTCAATTAAGTCTCTGGATTTCCTCTTCCTGAACCTAAGTCAGGTTACAGTGGAAGAATAATAAAGGCAAAGGGAACGTGTTGCACTCGTCCAAATAACGGCCTCTGAATGTCAGCAATGGAAAGTGAGCATGACTTTGAGCTCCCACCCACTGGGAACTTTGATGGCATAATTTATGGGCAGCTTTTTGAAACTGCCAGTAGCTCAAGCTCTCCAGCAGCCTGTTTCTTCTCACACTTTTTTTAAGGTGGGGGGAAGACCCACAAAGAGGGACATGAGGTAGTGGGGTTTAAAATAGAATATTTGAATTAATTTGACCATATTTGATAACCAATTGGGGTGGGAGGGTAGCGTTTCTCTGCAAAACATCTCAACAGCACAGCAAGCTTGTGGGTGTTGTGGAGAGTATTGTATGGTTTCACCCCAATATGATACCATTCATCCTTTACCCAACATACACGGGTGGTGCTGTGGTCTAAAGCACTGAGTCTCTTGGGCTTGCCGATCAGAAAGTCGGAGGTTCAAATCCCTGTGACAGAGTGAGCTCCCGTTGCTCTGTCCAGCTCCTGCCAACCTAGCAGTTCGAAAGCACGCCAGTGCAAGTAGATAAATAGGTACTGCTGCGGTGGAAAGGTAAACAGCGTTTCTGTGTGCTCTGGTTTCCATCACGGTGTCCCGTTGCGCCAGAAGCGATTTAGTCCTGCTGGCCACGTGACCCGGAAAGCTGTCTCTGGACAAACGCCGGCTCCCTCAGCCTGAAAGCAAGATGAGCATTGCAACCCCATAGTCACCTTTGACTAGACGTAACCGTACCTTTTTTTTTACCTTACCAGCTGCCAATGGTATGTGAACTACACAACATGTCCCCCAAAGGAAGGGTCAGAAAATGTACCATAACTCTTTTAACAATGGCTTTTTTAAAAAGGGAGGGGAAAGGGAGAATCTGTTGGGAGTCTATTGAGAATATTCCCCTCGTTACCCACCACGCTAGAGTATGAGAGGCATCTCTATAATTCAATTTATTACATGCCATATACACTTTAATGTCATGCCAGAACTGTGACTACACATTTTTATGGTTTTCTGCAAAATGTTTGTTTTTCCTTTGTCCGTTCTCAAGCTGCGCCTGCACACAGCGAAACTAGCTACAATATACATCTTCAGTTCTCCAAAACAATTTATATTTCTTGGAAGAACTGGCTACTAGACATGATAGTTCAACAGAATCTCCATGCAGGCCTTGTTGTAATAATAATAATGATGATAATAATAATTTATTTATACCCCGCCCATCGGGCTGAGTTTCCCCAGCCACTCTGGGCGGCTCCCAATCGAGTGTTAAAAACAATACAGCATTAAATATTAAAAACTTCCCTAAACAGGGCTGCCTTCAGATGTCTTTTAAAGATAGGATAGCTCCTTATTTCCTTCACATCTGAAGAGAGGGCGTTCCACAGGGCGGGCGCCACTACCGAGAAGGCCCTCTGTCTGGTTCCCTGTAACCTCACTTCTCGCAATGAGGCAACCGCCAGAAGGCCCTCGGCGCTGGATTTCAGTGTCTGGGCTGAACGATGGGGGTAGAGATGCTCCTTCAGGTATACAGGACCTGAAAGTCAGATGCAGAACACCGAAGGAGGTCAACAAGAAAATACATCCTGATACCACTTTACTGAAGAAAACAGGGGGAAAGTGCATAATCTGAGAAAGGAACAGAAAGCCTTTTGACTTGTTTTTTCCTTCGGGCCTTGTACATGACAGGGAGGCATTCAACTAAACATACAGTGGAAAACTCTTTCAGAACTAGGCAACCAATCAGGGCGTGTGCTACTTCAGCAAACATCACGCCACTCTGCCTGGTTGAACTACATCTCCACCCATGTGTTGAGGACACAGAAAAGAGGAAACTCATTCCTGTCCTGCTTCTAATCATTCTGAATTTGCATTTGGCCGTATGACTTAGAAGAGGCAAATTCAGTGCAGATCTGTGTTCTCTTTTTTTGATGACACATTTCTTCCTTTTAGTTTAGTGGTGCAAATGTGGCCATCACCCCACACCCAACCGCCCACCCTGTAGGTTCCTGGTGGCCTCACATCTCAGCAAGACTTTCTTTAGGGTACAGAGCTTGAAATCCGCTGCTATAAATTACGCCCTTTTTGCATTCACACTCCTTTTGTTTAAGCAAACAAAGCTGATGATGCTTGTTAGGCTGCCATTGTTAAGATAATATATTGTTAGAAAGGCCCGCCGTTCATCAGCCAGCAGTGAGCTTTGTGGTTTGGCGCCTTCTCAAGATCGGAATACATGAATTTCAATGGGGGAAATAGATTCTCTGTTTTCTATGGGAGCAGTAGGGAAGCGTGCTTCACTTCGTGAAATTTAATGTGCAAACAATCATCAGCCTGTGAGACGGCATCTCCCCGCATGCATTTATGTACCACTATAGTCCAGAGATTAGCGACAGATGACTAACGGGGGAGCTAATCAGGGCAATAAATTAAAACCTGCACAGTAGAAATCCCTTTGGTAATATACAAGGCATGCAAGCTATTCCCCTCTCCTCACACTGAATCACTACTGTTACTAATCATTACTGTAACTTTTCTTTTCGCTTGCATGAACGCTTGCATACAGTGGGCCCTCACTGGTCCCATCACCTCCTGGCAAATAGAAGGGGAAGAAATGGAGGCAGTGAGAGATTTTACTTTCTTGGGCTCCATGATCACTGCAGATGGTGACAGCAGTCATGAAATTAAAAGACGCTTGCTCCTTGGGAGAAAGGCAAACCTAGACAGCATCTTAAAAAGCAGAGACATCACATTACCAACAAAGGTCTGTATAGTTAAAGCCATGGTTTTCCCAGTAGTGATGTATGGAAGTGAGAGCTGGACCATAAAGAAGGCTGATCGCCGAAGAATTGATGCTTTTGAATTATGGTGCTGGAGGAGACTCTTGAGAGTCCCATGGACTGCAAGAAGATCCAACCTATCCATTCTGAAGGAAATCAGCCCTGAGTGCTCACTGGAAGGTCAGATCCTGAAGCTGAGGCTCCAATACTTTGGCCACCTCCTGAGAAGAGAAGACTCCCTGGAAAAGACCCTGATGTTGGGAAAGATGGAGGGCACAAGGAGAAGGGGACGACAGAGGACAAGATGGTTGGACAGTGTTCTCGAAGCTACCAGCATGAGTTTGACCAAACTGCAGGAGGCAGTGGAAGACAGGAGTGCCTGGCGTGCTCTGGTCCATGGGGTCACGAAGAATCAGACATGACTAAACAACTAAACAACAACAACAACATAGTTTGTCTATCATGGTCACTATGCCCCCATTGCTCATACAGTGGTACCTCGGTTTTTCGAGCATCTCGGAAGCCGAACATTTCAGTTTTCGAATGCCAAAAACCCAGAAGCAAATGCTTCTGTTTACGAACGCACCTCGGAAGGAAAACGGCTTCTGCTGCATTTCCTTCTTTTTTTCAATTTTCTCCATTGCAAATGCAGACTGCCCTTTGCACCTCGGTATTCGAACATTTTAGAAACCGGACGCTCTTCCGGAATGGATAGCGTTCGAAAACCGAGGTACCACTGTATTGTCATTTGGGGGGAAAGCAACTCCACGGAGCTAAAGGGGGGGCATGCTCTGGAGTAAGTGTGCATAAGAGTGCAGCCATGATGAAAAAGAGGTAAAGGTAATAATAATAATAATAATAATAATAATAATAATATACCACCCTTTGCTCTAAGGTCCCAGAGCACTTAAAAAATGCCATTTTATCAAAGGCTGCAACCCCTCTCACTACGCATATGAATTCAAACATGCTTTCTAGTCAACCTTTGGAAGTGCTTTTTAAAAGTAAAGGGTAGGGTCAGCCTGCTAATCACCCCACCGCTGAAACAAGTGCGTGACAGGTTACTGGAGAGTGCTTGAAGATTGCAGGCAGAGAAATGTCTTCACTGATGTGTAGTTTGGGGAAGAAAGCTGGGGGTGGAGATGCTCCTTCAGGTATACTGGGCCGATACCATTTAAGGCTTTAAAGGTCAGCACCAACACTTTGAATTGTGCTCGGAAAGGTACTAGGAGCCAATGTCGGTCTTTCAAGACCGGTGTTAGATGGTCTCGGCGGCTGCTCCCAGTCACCAGTCTAGCTGCCGCATTCTGGATTAGTTGTAGTTTCTGGGTCACCTTCAAAGGTAGCCCCACATAGAGTGCATTGCAGTAGTCCAAGCGGGAGATAACTAGAGCATGCACCACTCTGGCGAGACAAGGGTCTTTGTTTTGAGAACAGAGGAGTTGCAGGGACACACACTTGCCCTAGTTCCATCTTATATTAAAACATTATATATTTGCAAGGGAAGGAAGGAAGGAAGGAAGGTCATTGGCTGATCAGGCCAGTCTTGAATCTGCTTCCATTGTGGCCTATCCTACTAAGACACCTGGAACTGTAAATGAATAAGTAGTCGTCAATGAAATTGATAGGTGTGTCGTTTTATGTATCCATACCACTGATTAGCTCTTTAATAGACTTCATTGGTGGGCTTTGTGCCATTTCTGGGATAGCTTAGTTGGTAGAGCATGAGCCTCTTGATCTCAAGGTTGTGGGTTCGAGCCCCACGTTGGGCAAAAGATTCCTCAATTGCAGGGGGTTGGACTAGATGACCCGAGGGGTCCCTTCCAATTCTACAATTCTATGTTGCATGTTCTGGATCCTCTCCTTTGTGTTTGTCCACTCAGGCAACTGTTTGTTAGTTAGCTAGCTAATTATAAAAATACTCATATCCCACCACTTCATAAAGCATGTCAAAGCGGCATGCAATTGATAGGTATACAATAAAAGCCACATAAAAATGACTCTGCCAGAATCTACAAGCTTCGCATATTCTCCCCAAATCATCACCCTTGATCCTGTTCTTCTCCAGTCTCCTTACAACACCAGTCTCTTTGCTGTTATGAGAAAACCTGGGCTGTGGTCTAAGCCCTTTTAAGAAACGCCATAGAAATAAGATTATATTGTGCTTTCTCTTGTTTTACTGTTCTTCCTTGAGTATTTTACAGGGCAAATCTAATCAACTTAACTTACTTGAAGACCATCCTGGTTTTAAAAACCCATTTGCTGCTTCCTAAAAAAATAATAAAAAGTAGACAGAAATCTATTGTTCGTAGCCTTGCCAGTAAACCACATATAAAAAAATTACAGCGTATGCACAGTCTGGTTATTATTTACCAGTTGCCACAACAAACCACTGTGATAGGCCTTCCTGGTGGGAGCATAGTAAGTCATGAAACTTTGAGTGTGGTTCTGTTTTCTTAAGGATACGATCAAGCCATGCTGTACGGGAAAGTATCCTTTTCCCAGAATCCCTAAGGAAGCCTCACTTGCAGTAGTGAAAGAAACATTTATATCATTTCTTTACAAACACACCCCCATAAACCTCAAGATGAGCAAAGTCCCATAGGTGGCCAACTGGTTCAATAAAAGAGGACTATAGGGAAATATCTGGAGGTGAGAAAAATCTGAATCCTCTAACAGGGCAGATTTAAAAAGCCTGATGAAATCTGTGGGCATTTAGGGACACAGAGGACAAATATATATGTCTTGACACAAGAAGACAGATGTAAATTCAGATGGAGCACTCAGCAGCCAACTGTTGATGTTCACAGCAGGGAACGACAATTTATGAGTGCATTGTATGTTAACCATTTGAGCCATTATCTCCAGGTTTCTTCAGGGCAAACTGCATGATACATAAAATGCAGACTTCCATTGTAGCATGTCTGGTTGTTTTGCTGTTGTTAAATGATTAGGGATGGGCAATTCTTTCAATTTTGGCTTGTTTCAGTTTCTCATTTTTTTCCCTGTCTTTTAAAGTTCAGTTCTCCAGATTTCTGCATCAGGCTGCAATCCCTTTTTTTAAAGTCTTCAAGAAAAAAAATTATTAACTTTTTTAGTGCAAATTTCTCCTGACGTACACTTTTTTATCTGTAATGTTTTCCTAATTTACTCGTTTTTGCAATTCTACTTAATAGAATGCATCTCCAAAGGATTTTTTTTCTTACTATGCCATTTTACATGCACAAAAATACATGCACCTTTGTACTCGTGATTTGGTTGGAGAACTGCATTGCAAAATTCAGGGAAGTGCAAAATTCGAGAGATGACTCAGTTCGCATATTGTTTCAGGAATTGCAAATGAGGTTAAGGTTACCAGATTTTTTTCAATAAATCCGGGGACACTTTTCAACTTCCTACTAAATAGATGGAATTTGTCAGGAGACTGATTTGTAAATCCAGGGACTGTCCCCGGGAAACGGGGACATCTGGTAACTTTAAATTAGGTAGGTTTACCTTTCAATGCACGGGACGCGGGTGGCGCTGTGGGTTAAACCACAGAGCCTAGGACTTGCCGATCAGGTTGGTGGTTCAAATCCCCGTGACGGGGTGAGCTTCCGTTGCTCGGTCCCTGCTCCTGCCAACCTAGCAGTTCGAAAGCACGTCAAAGTGCAAGTAGATAAATAGGTACCGCTCCGGCGGGAAGCTAAACGGCGTTTCCATGCACTGCTCTGGTTCGCCAGAAGCGGCTTAGTCATGCTGGCCACATGATCTGGAAGCTGTACGCCGGCTCCCTCGGCCAGTAAAGCAAGATGAGCGCCACAACCCCAGAGTCGGTCACAACTGGACCTAATCGTCAGGGGTCCCTTTACCTTTACCTTTACCTTTACCTTTACCTTTACCTTTCAATGCGGCTGGAATCAAATTTCTCCCTCATCCTTAGTCCTGATCAGAAGGATTGTGCTGAACACGGTGAGTGGGTAAGAACATGAAAAGTTGTCTTATAGCAAATCAGGGTCCTCCCAGTTGGCAATTTATTGCTGCTCCTGATGCAAGTTTTGGCCAACTTCCATACAGCACCGTCCTCATCAGAATGCCATCTTGATTCCCCCTCCCACCCACCCACTTACCATTTCTGCGGGGGGGGGGTTACTTCTTAGATTTTATATGGAAACAGTAAATCTGATCTAAAGCTCCATCTGCACTATAAAAAAGGTAAAGGGACCCCGGACGACTCTGGGGTTGTGGCGCTCATCTTGCTTTATTGGCTGAGGGAGCCGGTGTACAGCTTCCGGGTCATGTGGCCAGCATGACTAAGCCGCTTCTGGCAAACCAGAGCAGCAGCGCACGGAAACGCCGTTTACCTTCCCACCAGAGCGGTACCTATTTATCTACTTGCACTTTGACATGCTTTCGAAGTGCTAGGTTGGCAGGAGCAGGGACTGAGCAACGGGAGCTCACCCCGTTGCGGGGATTCAAACCGCTGACCTTCTGATTGGCAAGTCCTAGGCTCTGTGGTTTAACCCACAGCGCCACCCGCGTCCCTTCTATCTGCACTATACTAACAGTGAAATGAGAAAATAGCCTGAAAATCAAAGAAACCTCAAAACAGCTCATTAGGGAGTGAACCCAATCAATGGCCACAAAATGCTAAATGACAGAGAGGGGTGGGACACTAGGAGGAGGGGCAAACAAAATAGAGTAATATGAAAGAAGGCATGGTTGGCTGCCACACTGAACAGAATCATTTCTTGCAGACCACAGTTGCATTCTAGGAGTTGCAATTACCTTGTCAATATTCTTTGAATACATTTTATGCAGGTTGATGAGGATCTCTCATGTTTTCCTGACACTCGAGACCTCCTCTGAAAGCTAAGCTCGCCATCTGTTTCGCCTTTCTGATGTTTAAGTTAAAGGGCAAAGGAAATACAATATACAGGAAATGGGAGACACCACAAGAATAATATACTTTCACGTCCATAGTATCACACTTGGCAGAGATGCCCCATTCATGATCACTGATCCATTACAAGTACTAGCCATGCAAGTTCTCAATAGTATTGATGGCAGGAGCATCCTTTCAGGTGGCTCAGGTGCATCCAGTAAGTTGTTTGCATAGCTAAAGACCAGTTTGAAAGCTGCTGAAGGAAGCTCTCTCTCCTCTTCATATTACTCTGAGAGTGGGACAAAACAAAGACAGTTGTAACTCTTCCTTGTTTGGAATGAGCCTGTGACTTTCACAAAGCCTCTCCACCACTGATCAGAATTCCTTTCTCCTCGAAGAAAGCCAAGATCTGAATAAAAGAAAGAAGAACATGTTGCCCCACATGTCCCATCCCAGAAGACACATTTGAAAGCATCAACAGGAAGGAATAAAACCAGACTGATGGGAGCCAAACGATTTCTGATTTATAGCCTTGCAGGAGGGACCTCTTCCAGACTTTATTGAAGATAATGGAAAGATTCCTGGATATTTAGATGGGCTCCCTTGCAAAGTTCTAAGGGAGGGCAGCACTGGCAAAGTGGTCTCACGATGAAATGGGAGACCAGTCCATTAAGATCACTGGTCTAAGGCCACATGCCGGAGTGGTCAACAATAAAACTTCATGTGCATTAGAAGCCAGATCTGCTTTTCATAACATATTTCTAAAGGTCACCCCACACACACACACACTCCTCCAGGAGCAGTAAACACAGCTTCATGTTATGGCCAAAGATTAAAGCAAAGACCAGAGACCAGTAGGGACATTGCTGCTTTCTGGTTTTCAAAGAGGAACAGAGGAAGCTGGCTCATAGCAAATCAAGCCACTGGTCCAACTACCTGAGAAAAGTGCCAATTATCTCAGATTATGGTCTGAAGACCTCTACCTTGTTTAATAATAATAATAATTTATTTATACCCCGTCCATCTGGCTGGGTTTCCCCAGCCACTCCGGGCGGCTCCCAACAAAACACTAAAATACAATAACCTATTAAACATTAAAAGCTTCCCTAAACAGGGCTGCCTTCAGATGTCTTCTAAAAGTTTGGTAGTTATTTTTCTCTTTGACATCTGGTGGGACGGCGTTCCACAGGGCAGGTGCCACTGCCGAGAAGGCCCTCTGCCTGGTGCCCTGTAACTTGGCTTCGCACAGCGGAGGAACTGCCAGAAGGCCCTTGGCGCTGGACCTCAGTGTCCAGGTAGAACGATGGGGGTGGAGATGCTCCTTCAGGTATACTGGACCAAGGCCTTTTAGGGCTTTAAAGGTCAGCACCAACACTTTGAATTGTGCTTGGAAACGTACTGGGAGCCAGTGTAGGTCTTTCAAGACCGGTGTTATATGGTCTCGGCGGCTGCTCCCAGTCACCAGTCTAGCTGCCACATTCTGGATTAGTTGTAGTTTCTGGGTCACCTTCAAAGGTAGCCCCACGTAGAGCGCATTGCAGTAGTCCAAGCGAGAGATAACCAGAGCATGCACCACTCTGGCGAGACAGTCTGTTGAAGCTGAACAGATGTGGGTCTCCACCTGGGAACCCATAGTGCATTGCTTAGAGCTCCATGATGGAAAAAGATGTGACGTAAACATACGAAAGTAAGTAAGCAATTGATGTAATTTAATCTTGCTGTGCATTCCTCAACTGAGGTATGAGCCTGACTTCCTCCCAGCTTCCAAAATGACAGACATGCACCTGCCAGCAAATCAAAGACTAACTTGACCATTAGTCTTGCTCCTCCCCTATTCTTCAGGCAGGCAGTCTGCCTCGCTTGATTTTAAAACATGCAGAAGAGACTTTCATGTTTCTATTAGACCGT